ACACGCGATATGTAGCCATTGGCTGTGCTGAGCGGGGCTGGTAGCGAACAAACACACGGGATTGACATGATTCAACCCCGGTGTTTTTTAACAGTTCTTAGCAATTTGAATCATGCCCATCATATCAGTGCCGTGTCATTTCAAGTTGTATCGGCTAGCTGCATTCTGCTGGCTGTACCCGTTTTCTTGTTATAGCTAGCCACCTTTGAACGCTGTTTATAAGGTCCCGAGAGTTTGAAAGTAAATACAGCCTAGCATATATCGGCGAATCCAGCCGGGACTGATGAGAGTGGGCAAATGCCAAAATTGATGGCAAGATATTATTTGTCCTATGCACAGCCATTATGCGTTGCAAATAAAGTTTTACGGGACCTATGACAAATTGCCCCCATGCGGCAGCTAGTAAACGCTATAATAAGGGAAAGTCTTTTTGATAAATACGTAGAAAACATGTTCGAAAGGAACTTCAATAATGCACTACGAATGGTGAACGTCACTTATCAGCTTCACTGAAAACACATGTTAGTGTTTGATCCTCCTTCCTTTGGCCATATTTTGGTTATTATTTGGCTTCTTAATTATTTTTAATGCACAAAGTGCAACACAATTATATGAAATTCCTTTCAACGATGGTCTAACCGTTATAAATCGCTTCTGTCATCTGTGAGCCGTAATCTAGTCATTATCACCACCGAGCGCAGCCATACACGTCTCTTGTAATGTAGCGCCGCGTAATTTAACGCACTGCAGCCAGTAATGAGCGACGGTAAACGAGAGCCACCGCCATTGAGTCTGGACGGCACTTGACGTCCGCTGCTTTCAGCACCCGTGCAGATGGAGGATTTCCTTTTCTCGGCCGGTAAACGGCGGCTGTACGGGACCCCGGCGCCTGATCGACTTCCCAGGAAAGGCGCAGTGCCATCAGCAGTGTCGGAGGCCGCGGCGAGTATTCAGCAGCGCTGGCCAGTCCGCCGACTGACACCCCAGTGAGCTGGGAGACTTCACAGGAGACCGTGCGCGGGCGCCGCGCCTCATCAGAGCCCGTCAGACACGAGCCCAGATCCGGCAGTAGCGGGCCCGGTCACGCACGCTCCAGCAGACTACTCGCCCGCCGCCAGGGATATGATCCCTGTGGACACAGGTCTACAGGCACCCCTGATCCGACGCTCCGATCATCGTGATCTGCCGGGACTTTGGTCCCGCGGGTCCGGGTACTAGTTCGTGGAAGGTGCCAGAATTGTCCGCCAGGAAATCCGCGCAGAAGCCTCCGCGATGTTCCCGGTATCAGCACGCCAGTCCCATCGGACATTGTATGACTCACAGGAGTTCTATAGGTTAGCTCAGCCTGCGCCTGCCGTTTCCATCCTCATCCTTCAAAGGTCTAGTAGGGGATGCGACATTGCATCCACCAGTAGCATTGTTTCATCCAATTAACCTTTTCTTATGTCTTAGAAAAAATCCGTTATTGCGTTTCTCATAAATCATGAACTCTGAGCTTTGTCCTTCATGGGCCTTGAAGGACCAGCAGCGCTTCTCACAAGCTTGGTGTCATCACGAGTGACAGTCTATGGAACCGATCGCCACCTTCCCTCCATTTCTCCAATGTCGGCTCCCAGAGAACCCTTTCTTCTTACTGCTCAAAATGCATGTGACGGCGCGACCCCTAAAACGAACCCTCTCGCACCGCGATGAAATACATCCTGTTTTGCGCTCAGCTCAGGCCGCTCAATCACATTCGGGGAGGGAAAACGGTCCTTTCGATTAGCGGTTATTACTCGTGATTTAACCTTGTGAAGCCAAGTACATCCGTGAAATAGATGATTTCCTGAAAGATTCTCAGAAGGTATGTAACATTTACCCAACACTTCCTCATCTTACGGTAAAGGGTCATAAAGTACGTGGCAGGACTGGTGCAAGACTGGACTTCGAATCCAAGATCAAACCATGACTAAGGTAATTTTCAGACGCTCGACTGTGATTCGATGCTATCGGGCTACATTAGATCAAGAAGCGCAAAACCCTCTCTCTCTCTCTCTCTCTCTCTCTCTCTCTCTCTCTCTCTCTCTCTCTCTCTGTCTCTGTCTCTGTCTCTGTCTCTGTCTCTGTCTCTGTCTCTGTCTCTGTCTCTGTCTCTGTCTCTGTCTCTGTCTCTGTCTCTGTCTCTGTCTCTGTCTCTGTCTCTGTCTCTGTCTCTGTCTCTCTCTCTCTCTCTCTCTCTCTCTCTCTCTCTCTCTCTCTCTCTCTCTCTCTCTCTCTCTCTCTCTCTCTCTCTCTCTCTCTCTCTCTCCCTCCCACAATGAGCCTGGTGAACCGATCGTCTTCATTTCTCCTCATATCGGTTCCCACCTAATCCCTCACTGGTCTTATCTCGCCAATCGTCACTGACAGACCAGCCACCACCTATCTTCCGAGCCAGACTCTATTTCGCCCTGCTCCACCGTCTCCGGCCCGTCGCCCGTCGCCCGTCGCCCGTCGCGTTGCCCCGCCGCGCTGGCTGTGCCGCTTGGGTCGGCTGTCCCGGCCGGAACCCTCCAGCCGCGGGTGGCCGCCGGGGCCGACGGAGCCGTCCAGAGGTGGTGCTCTCACACACACAGCGGCGACAGGGTTCTCAGAGCTCTGAATCCGGGCCGGGTGGTAATTAAGCGACTGGAAGGGATCAGCGGCCGTCGGCTCACCGACCCACCGGTCACTGATAGGTGCAGCCTTGCATGAGCCGGAATTTAATCAGCGACCAGAGCAGATTTCATTACTCACTTAGCGGAAGCCCTTTATTAGGTTTCATATATGCTGGCAGTGGCACTTGATGCACTTGAAGTGGCAAGTGATCTTACTTCCTTTCATTGCTTACGCATAACGGGTTTTGGTTTCATTCAAGTGGCATAGGTATTTGCACACTTGTCTGGATATGAAGCGAAATAAAATCATAATTCGTTCTTTATCATCCTCACTGAATGCGCTTTTTTCTAATCTTTATCTCAATGTGCTCTATCTTTCCAATTCTGGCCCTTCTCAACTTTTGAACATCGGTAAAACAAGCGTAAAGTTCCGCTAACTCGTCGTGCACGGCGTGCCATCATACATATTATAACATTGGTTGGAAGACAACACATTTAAAACTCTACCAGTGAAAACTGCCTTTTCTCAGTCGGGAGGAACTAAGTATGGTAAGAACCCTATCATTTTACAATGCACCCATACCTAACAGAGAAAAGAACTGCATTGCTTGAATTTGCTCTGAGAGCGACTTTTCTTTTTCGGCTGATGACCGTCATATAATCCAGAAACAGATGCAAACACATCAGACACTTCATCCCTAGCCCAAATTGGGCTAGGACTGTTGTTATACTTGTCGATGAGATAAGAATGTTATAAAAACAGTCGAAACAACTTATGTGGTAAAAGCCGTGGGATGTTAAAAACAGGATTTGTTGGAAGTCAAACAATCAATATAGTATTTGCTTTACTTTTCGTTATCTTGTTGTTGTCAACATGCGACGATGATAGGAGTTAAACGGTAAATGTTGCCTCTGTCTGCGAAACAATATTATTGGCTCGTACGCTTGTGATCCACTCAAGCAGCAAGCGTCATGCCACGGAATGCTCCTCACTTTTGCAACATCACATCAGCCTTACCTGGTGGAATGCTACAGATTGTTTTGAAGTTACATTCCATTTGTTCGCTTCCACCAATATTGCGTTAGCCGAGAACGCATAACAACGTGCATTGTCTTTCACTGCCAGCACACCACGTTGCGTACGCCCTGGACAGTTGGTCCGCGTTTCCGCGTCATTGCCGAGTCGCCGCTAGCGTGGCGCGCGCGGTGCCGGGTGTGTTTATCACAGCGTGCCACTGGGACGCGCGCTAGTGTCGCCCAGAATGGATGGGATTTGCCTCCCTGTTCTCATTTGCATGATAGCGACCGGCGCTTAGTGCGGCGACACGGCTGGTATGGGAATATCTAATGAAATTGTTCCGCCGACAAATGCTTAGCCTTCCCGGTAAGGCTAAAAGCTAAGCCGTGGATAAGAAGAGAATACATTTGTTAAAAATACATTAACGATGGGATATGCTTCTGAATGGTAAACGCAAGAACGAGACCAGTGCCAAATGGAGAGTGGCAGCTTTTGCCTTTTGGGTAGAAGACGAATATTGAGCATGTAGATAAATGTGCATTGTGCAATGTGCATTCATAAAAGGTGTTGTAAAACTTTCCCCATGGCGAAAAGAAGCATGCATTTATCGATAAAAAGCATGCACTATGAAGCGTGCATGTGCGAATGAAAAGTAAGTGATGATGTCTGACCTCGCAGCATTCATCAATTCCATTAATTTATATTACTTTGTGATGGCAATGTAGGGACATCTTCGAGGGTGAACAACACATTGTTTGCTGCCATTATTCATTCCTGGCAGTCTTTTGGAACATATTATCAGGCAAGCGTATCATTAATCCTTTGCTAGAGCCATTATGCCAGATTTGCTAGACGTTATGTGACCCACACTAAAGCACATCATGGCTGATAGTTATTCTGGCTGGTGAATAGCCACGTACATTTTCGCCAAATTACTGAGCTTATTTGAAATGATCCTCAGCAATCCAGACGATAATATTAGGCCGGCCAGCTTGGAAAACGACGAAAAAATGGCATGCACTTTACAAGTTCTAGACCATTTTCATATAATGATATTGCTAATCAAGTTTGGAGCTCCTTGAAACACCCATCTCAGCTTTGGTTGCCGCTCGCATTGCACAACGCTCAATTTATGTTTGTAGAAGAAGTTTTTTTAATGAAGTACGTTGCTGATGTTCACAGACGTAGGTGGGCATTTTCTCATGCAGCACTTCATTATAACACTCAAGTTCTTCCACGTTTAGGTGTTTGACGACAAGCACGATGCAAATTGGCGAGACCGGGGTCATCCACGTGAAAACTGGAACTGGTTTGGGCTACCACGTGTGTGACTGGAAACAGTGTTGACATCAACAAATGCCACTTACGTGTCATCGTAGACAAAGTCTGCCTGCAGCGTGTTGATGTAGCACAGCACCGCCAGCAGGCCGCTGGCGCAGGCGGGGTGCCTCCAGAGTCGCCTCCACAGCTGACTCGCGGCCGGCGCCGGCGCCGCCCGGGGCGCGGCCATCGCTGCCGCCGCCCGCCGCCCGCCGCCGCTGACTGAGCCGTCGGTACCGCCGGCGGCTCAGTGTCGGTCCCGACGGCGCCGACGACAGCGCCCCCGTCGGCTCCGACGGACACCGACCGGCAACAGGTGGGCGGAGTCCCGGACCCGCTGACCGGTGACCTGGCCTGACACTGACCGGGCACAGGTGCTCCTATGTGCCTGGCGAGTTGTTCCACCCATTGATCACATATTGCCCGCAGACAAGTGGTCTTGGAGAAGCAACGGCTTACTCACTCTCAATTACGTCGCATTTCATGGAAGTGGTATTTAAATCGCGTTACGTCGCTTGCTGGCTGAGGATTTCTACGAGCCATCACAAGCTGCCGCTGTCGCCGTAGAAGCTGTTTCATTGCATGCGAGCTTCTCTAGACATTTTGTTGGTGCATAAGACCTTGTAAATAGTACTCATTTACAGGCGATTGAATTTCTGTTTAAATCAATCACCAATGCATTTGTGCGGGTACGGATTGGCATACCCAATAACCATCTCCCTAGTGCACGCAGTGACACATGACCATCAGCAAAAGTACCCAGTCGACAGTGGTCCCGTCCGCCGCGTCAGCCGTCCTGACCTAGGCGCCCCTGACCGGAACTCCCCCTCCCCCCGCTCTGCCCGACCGCCGGGGGCGCTGTCGGGTCGTGTCGGCGCCAGATGACCGGCGGCCAGTTTTGGTCCGGTCACCCTCGAGCGGAGGGCGCCGCGCCCGACACAGCCGTCCGTCCGGCCGAGCGGCCGCACTTGAGCGTAATGGGGCGCCGTCTGCTGGCCTCTCGTGACGGCGGCTTCATTAGTGTAAAAGGTTCTGTTCCGAGCACCGTCGGTCGCCGTTTCCGCTGAGGGTCCGTTCGCGGGATAGGTCGCGGCAGAGTGGCTTGATCTCGGCCACGGGAGTTGTCTGATTTCGATTAAGGATACTTCTGAGCGTGGTTGGTGGAGTTGTCTGATTTCGATCTAGTGGCTGTTTCATATTCGATCAGCGTAGTGCATGTTCTCGATTTGTTTGTTTGTCTATTTCCGTTTTTTTAGTGTTCTTTTCTTGGTTTGTGGTGAAGGATTTTCTCGTAAGAGAGATAGTCTGTTCCTTGCCATCCGATTAATAATTGCAGTTTGATATTAGATTACGATAATCTCTAAAACTTCTTTCACAAGGTACTGAAGGAACGCGTCTTGCTAGTTTTAGTATTTCACAAATCACAGATTATCTCTGACATCGTCTACATCATATATGTGGACAATTTGGACAATGGAGATGGCTTTATAGGAAGGAGGAGGAAGGGTGAACCCAAACCAAATTTGTCAACTGTGATGAAAGAAGAGTTGGGCACAGCTCAGGTATATGATTGATCACAGCGTGCATTACTTTTTATGATAGCAAAGGTGTGGTTATAAGATTGCTTTGACAAAAACGGTCTAGAGTCTCCTGCACCATGGGTGGGTGAGAAGATGATTAACTATTTACACATCTTACGGCATGATTGATTATTTCTGTGTTTGGCTTACCGTTGTTCACTTTGTTCTCTTCCTTCTCGCCCAATTGGAGATGGAGAACACCGGAAACCGAAAGCCAGTACAAGCCAGTACCGAAAGCCCAATTGGAGAACACCGGAAACCGAAAGCCAGTACATTGCAGATCAATAGACGACGCCAGACCTCGCGCGGGTTCAAATGAAATTTGTCCCGTCCAACTTTGCACATCGCCGGAAAGTTGGTCCGCTCTGGGCGACTGGGGGGAGGGGGGGGAGGGGGCGGCCCGGGCGGCGCACACTGGTCGGAAACGCCCTCACGAGAGGCCACGGGCGATTCCGGAGTTTCGGATTATTTTTTATATAGATAGATTTGAAATTGATCAAATTATTATAATTAGGCAAAAAAAACTAATCCGGGTGACCAAAAATAACTGTAATCAGCCCCCGAAGATGGGGTATCCCAGAACTCGGAAACTGACGCGGAGCAAGAGGTTTCTTGAGCCGGATATTCAGAGTCTTATTGCTGATTGACACCAAATTGAAATCCCACATATTATGCATCAAAATGTTCGTTATGAAGTTGCCGACTGGTCAGTGCAAAATTTTTGGTATACTTTTTCCCTACCTAAGATTTACTGAAGCTTTTTTATGAAGGCTCTCCTACAGTGATTCTGGAATATAACTGCAAAGTTTAGGTAAGGAAACAACAGGTAGTCCCATCTAGTTCCACTCTGATTTTTTGTGAGATGAAGCAGGATTTAAATTTACACCAGGGCAACATAAAAGCTAACTGCGCATATTTGCGCAAAATTTGCAGGAGCCGCTCTTCCTACCCAACTACCGCCCGCCCCGCCCCAGTTTCGGCTCGGCCGCCGCGCCCGGCTTACGCTGACCTATGTGGGCCTGCACGCATCCATGCGTAGTTGACTGGTCATTAAAAACAGATGCGCTTGAGTTTATGAATTTGGTGAAAAGCGTGTTTTATATATGCATTTATGTATGTATTGACATCAAAAGCCTTCCACATATTGCGTGACGATTACGGCTTGCATTTAGAGAGCCTTGCTATTGACAACCATCACTCGGCTGAAGAAAGTGGAAATTGAAACCTTCGTGAATATAAGACGCTGCAAATATAGGACACCTGTCACTGACGTCGGGTTACCTTGGGCCGTCTTTTTACATTAGATCACAATTCCGGTATTTAACCCTGGCCGGACCGATTGGTTTTCTATATTGACCGGGGAGGGTTGACTTGGTACAACTCCCTCGCCGTTTCGCCTCTAATTGAGCTAGAGCCTCGCGGAAAAAAACAAGCTCGTGTGCCGTTATAAGACGCAACAATTAGGTACTACCCGATTTTAAGGTCTTAGGTCAGCCAGTGACCTCTTAGGTCAGGTAAGTGCCACAAGGCACGGGCTCGGTTTTAGGTTAACCCGCGCCCGGCTGGGGGTCCTGGATTTCCACGCCCTGCTGGGGGGGGGGGGGGGTGTTTGAACACCCCCCCTTCTAACTCGGCTCCTGGGCCACGTAGCGATACGCGGAAGGCGGCGTTCGAAAGAGCGTCAAAAATAATGAGGAAATCACTTCGGTCAATTTTTTGGTCAGGTCAAAGGTCAGGTCACCAGAGGTCATTGAAGGCAAATTTTCGCCGATTTCCAGGTCGAATGTCGAAAATTTCCAAGAAGCCAACGCATAACTCGGGAACCAATAGAGCTACAGCGCCGCGGAAAAGCGCATTCGATAGCCCTATTAACGCCCTTTCTGAGTAATTCTCTCAGATTTGACCTAACGTCAACGGTTTTGCCTGCAGGGGGCAAAAACTGCAAAAATAGCCGATTTTTTCGGAAACAGTTTTTCTGCAATAACTTTTGACCCAAGCATTGTACGAGCTTACTTTTACCCACATCGTGTTCCTCTCGTCAAGACGCATCGAACGAACTATAATTTGACCTTGAAAGGTCAACTTGAAAATTTGACCTCAGGTCAAGGTCATGACCTGACCGGAAAGGGTCATGTTGCATATCAGTCGATCCGTATCGTCGAGCTGAACACATCTAAGGCGTTTTCATCGCTCTAGCATGCCTCTATCAAAAGTTATTTGCGAAAAACTGTTAGATACCATTCGTGACCTAAGATGACCTCAGGGCATAAACAGGGGTCACAGACACCATTTTCATGTTCAGTGTGTCTAAACCACTTGTTATTCAGTGTTTGGGAGTGTTTATAATGTCTTTCGTCCAAAACAGGCGCATTTCAATTTTCTCCCATTGACTTATAATGGTGAGGTCGCAAAATTGACCTGACCTTAGGTCATCGATATCAAAATTCTGAGATACACATTTTGTACATGCTAATGCTCTTAGCAATCGCTGAAAGTTTCAAAGCGATCGGTCACTCGGTGTAGCTATGACAGACATTGAAACTTTTTATTAGGTGAGGTCACTTCGAGTGACCTGGTGACCTGACCTTGAATGACCTTGGTCTGAAATTTTCACAACATGTGTAGAATTGATGTATGATAAAGTGTACCAAAAACGGCGGCGCGGAGCGCCGCCGTTTTTGAGATATTCGCGAAAAACCACAGGGGGGGGGTGTTCAAACACCCCCCCCCCCCCAGCAGGGCGCGGGTTAATTACTTTGCCAAAAATGGTCGCACTGCCGCGATTTTGACATCATCGTATTTGTCTAGCTCAGGCGCGTTGAATGCTATACTTGGTGTTCGGGTGAAGTCAACTTAAGGTGTTAACCTCGGGTCAAGGTCAGGTCGGAGCCCCTCAGGTCACGAAAATGGTTGAAGGAGGTCATATCGCATATCATTCGATTCGGCAGGTCTTCCTGAGTCTAATGGTGGCTTTCCCGACTCTCTAGCTCCATCTGATCAGGAGTTATTGACGAAAAACTTATATGGCCTTAGTGACGTCATAAATGACGTCACGCAAAGTCAACAATGCTAAAGTGAAGCACTGGACCTTGCAAGGAGTGCATGAAACCATTCCCGGTGCCCGAATAGCAGCTCCCAATTTCCCTTGTTGACTTAAAGTGGTGCTAGATCCTGTATTATACTCAATTATGACGTCATAACTTAACAGATTCACGTCATATATTTAGTGCTTGACATCCAAATGATAGCTTACATATGACAGAGAAGGTATGCAAAGTTTTATGAAGTTTGCTTCACTAGTTGTGGAATAACAAGCAAAAAACTTTTGCGGAAAGGCCGCTGGCCTCTCGCTGGAGCGTTTCCGACCAGTGTGCGGCGCACCGTCGCGACCGGAGTCTCCCGGAGCGAGCGGCCAACTTGACAGGCAACTTAGCACAAAGCCATGCGACAAGTTTGTTGCGGAGGTATTACATGAACTTTGTGACACATAGAAGCCAGGGATAATTAAATTCCAAGACGGTATTTGTTTGATTGATTAAAAAGACTGGGTTCGGCTGGGATGGATCTAGAAAAACTTTTTTCTCCGGAACGTTTGGAATTAAAAGAAAAGAACGATT